CTTTCCCTAACTGCTCTAGTTAGCCACGGATGAATTGCTTTCCCTGTGGTACTCTTATTCCGCAAGGGAATATGCGACCGCTGAGAATTTTGCACTACATCCTTAAATATTTGCCACTGTTGGTCTACATTTTTATCTTTTAAACGTATTCTCCAGTCTATTTTACCTAAATCTTTCCTCATACCTACAAAATTAGCCCTATTTAAATTCAGAATACTTGCCTCGTATTTAACTATATCCCTCTCTAACTTAATGCAGAATTCAATCATATTGTGATCACTCTGCCCCAGAGGAGTCTTACTACCTACACTGCCAACTACCCCTGTTTCGTTACACAAAACAAGGTCTAGGATGGCCTGTACCCTTGTTGGTTCCTCGGCATGCTGCTCTAGAAAGTTCTCTCTCATACACTCAATCGACTCTTCTTCTAACTTACTTTTGCCGATTTGGTTTTCCCAATCTATGTGGAGATTGAAATCACCCACTATTATCGCTTTTTATCGCTTTCCTACATGCTCCACTGATTTCTTGATTTTTTTGATGTTTCCATGTTGACGTTTGCTCCTCCTGGAAACCATCTATCCTAATTCCAATTTCTGCTCTGTCCCCTTCCTCTGCACGTGCCTGCCTAATTCTCTTTTAACTCTCCGAGACTACTCCACGTGAAGGGCGCTGTATAAATGCAAACTGCTGTTGTTTTAAATACCCTCCAAACATTTCTGCTCTAAGAGCCACTCCTAGCAAATCTTCACACCTTGACAAATCTGTGAAGAAGCTCTCATAAATACACAATCTCTTGTCACAATCTTGAATTCATACCGTGTTGTCCTTGGATCCCCTATCAGCAGAAAGAACGAGTGATTAATTATTTCAAATGCTTTCATTATCATAAACACCTCCATCATATCACCCTTTTAAATTCTGCTCCAACAAAGAAATTCTAACCTGTCTATGAGGAAAGGCTGAGAGATTAGCACTCTGTCCTTTGGAGCAAATAATGTTAAGGGGTGATATGATGGAGGTTTTTAAAATGATGAAATTGAATCTAACCTTGTAACCTTTCCAGGTCATTGTTATGATGGATATGATAAATATCAGTTCTGTAAAAACACACTTTTCAACATCATACAATACACAAAGAAAACAACAACCTGCATTTATAGAGCGCCCCTCAAGCAATGTAGCGTCGCAGAGCGCTTGACAGTGGTGGAACACGACGCTGAGCCTGGGGGAGGTGGAGATGACCATACGTACGGTCGAATAGGAAGGTCTTCAGGTACAACCTGAAGGTGGGGAAGGAGTGGCAAGGCAGAGGGATAGAGGAAGAGTGTTCCAGAGTTTCGGGGTGTAGTGCCTGAAAGACAATGCATATTGGGGTTGAAGTTTATTGTAGGGTTCTCTTAGAGCAACTTAAGACTGATTTACAGGGATCTGATAGTTACTGTCATAGCCAAATCGTGTGTCTGTGCTCTGACCCGGCAGGAGTAGGTTATGGGATTTCTGTGGGTTGGTTGTGATTCAATGACTGATCACCAGCTGGATTCCCGATTAGAAACTTGTTCTTGCTGAATAACAACAACTTGCATTTATATATTGGTCCTTCATTTTTTATTGGTCAGTTGGGTGTCTGACACATGCGGATACTCATCACCATGCTTAAGAGTATCCGAACTAAACTGAGATATCCATGCATCTCACCTACACATGGAAATCCCAGAGATAGATTGTTGGAATGGAATGCGCACTCTCTCCCTGGAGGGATGCATCCTAGTCACCTAAGTATTAGGCGCAGGTTGGCAAGAGCCAAGGTTTGGGGATCCCAGAGTGTGTGTTGGGGTAACTGCTGGAGTTTAACCAGCTAAAACCAGCACCTTTCACGTCAGAAGGAAGTATCAGCCGGCATCTGCCTTCCGTGTGGTGGGAAGACCTTTACGGGACAGCTTGTGACGTGCTAGCCACCTTGATGCTCTTGAAGTCCCAGTCCAATGCCGTGTACCAGGCTTACTCAGCACCAGCTGCTTAATCCAGGTCCTCAAATGAGGGGCCTTAGCAAATAGACTGTGAAGCCAATTCCACCTCCAGGGTGCTTAACAACAGGTCAGTGTAGGCCGGAGCCCTCCCTCCCTGTAGCCACTTCACGTGTTTGCCACAAATCCACCTCACCGCCTGATCCTGGACTTTGCAGATGGGTCAGAGGAAGCCTCTCCACTGCATCCCCAGAAGCTCAGATCCATAATGGAGGACTGTTTTCACAGAGGGAGCAGGGATGTACAGTGAGCCTGTGTTAGTGAAGTGGGCGTGCAGTGGAGTACAAGCAGATCACAGCAATAGGACAGTATTCAGTCTTATTGCAGAAATGCACAATTCAGTGGTCCACATGCTTTCCCGGACCAAACTCCATATCCCCATCTCATCAGTTCTGGTCAGGCTCCACTGGCTCCCCATCACCGATTAGATCAACTTCAAGATCCTCACACTCATGTTCAAATCCCTTCATTCTCAGGTATCTCCCTACTTCTCCGACCTCCTCACTCCCCAATCCACCACCTAACACCGCCGTTCGACTGGTACCGGCCTCCTGCTCGTTCCTCGCACCCTCCGACCCATCATCGGAGGTTGGGCTTTTCAGCCACTACACCCCAAAATTCTGGAACACTCTCCCTCAATCCCTCCGCCTTGTCCCCTCTCTCCCCTTTTTCAAGTCCTGCTTTAAAATCTTCCTTTTTGACCATGCTTACAGCCACCTCCCCACTCCCCACCCTGGCTCACAGTCAGGCTCCGCCACGGTTAAGTGCTCTGAGATGCTACCCTGCGTGGAGGGTGCTATATAAGTGCAAGTTGTTGTTGCATTGGAATGTAAACTAGATGGAATAATACGTGAAGGTGAGGACGCTGAAGCTTATCCTCCCCAGGCCTCCCATCAAAGACAAGTATTGTGCAACAGTTGGGGGTTGGGGGGGTGGTCAGGCTTTTTTTGTTGACATTATTTGACAATATAATATCTGGTACAACAAAAAAACAACAAAACACAAAACAAAACATAAATCTGCTGTTACATTCTTTTTTCCTGTATCGCGATACAAACATTTAATTCTTACACCTTACATTCCTCGCGGGACGCTCTTCTACACGGCGAGCACCCCTGATGTCAGCCTCCATGGGGTTGGGACACTGGCGCGTTGGGTTTAGCACTGCTGCCAGCGTAGGAGCAGCCGCGGTTTTGTTCAGGCCCCATCTGTAGCGATCTTCAGCATGTCCCTAAACACATAGTCCCTGATGGTGGAGTGTGCGAGCCTGCAGCAGGCCCTCTCTGACATGGTGCTGTACTGGTACAACAACCGGTTTCGGGGGACGACAAGGGCCACCTTCACCGAACTGATCATCCTCCAGGCGCACTCGATGCCAGTCTCGCCGTGTGTCCCCGGGAAGAGGCCGTACGCCACTGAGTGCCGTGAACAGCAGTCCACAGGAACAAACCGCGAGGGCAGCCATTCCATCTGTTTTCAGACAGCTTTTGCATGCTTACACTCCAGGTGATCCTTCATCTCCTCACCTCCACAGCCGTCCCGAGGGCAGAGGGGTGGAGGTCAGGTGGTCACACCTGTAGCAGGTGAAGAACTAGTGACTAGCCTTGACAGTGATTTTCAATGATGGCATTGAATCTCTCAGGCTTCACTCCACATTTACAGCCATTAGCCAATAATGTTTCTGCTAATGATTTGCTAGTAGCCGATTGCGACGCCTGTTGTCGAGAGCTCACTGGGTCTACCCTGCAGCAGCTAGGACAAGTGCCAGATCTAAAGAACAAGAACCAACTGTTCTGTACCGGGCTTTTCTGACTGAATCAAATACATAGGAATCACTGGCTTTAAATAAATAGCTCTCGATAGCCGGACATGCCTGGGCATGTACTGGTGCTGGCTCCCACACTGGTGCTATTTACTTTAATCCTATTGCCCTGCTTTTTTGCTGTAACCTTTAACACCATTTTCATGAAGTATTTATCCAATTCTCTTTTAATTGCTGTTATGGACAGGGCTTGAACAGCCAATTGTTCTATAACATTCCCTGCTCTTAACAATCTTCTAAGTAAAAAATGTAGATTCATATCTCTCAATTTTTCTGTTGATAAACCTAAATTTATAGCATTTGCTACTGGCTGGATCAGTTGAAATAGTGGAAATCAGTCTCTTTATTCAACCTGTCAAAATCATTCATGATTTTGAAAACTTCCATTAGTTTCCCCTCTTAACCTTCTGCGCTCCAGCAAAACAAGACCCTTTATAACATATCGTCCTTTATAACAATCCCTATAATGAGCCTTGCATTTAATAATCATCTTTCACATGAGGAGGATGTTTCAAAGCACTTCACAGGATTTACCATAAAGTGCAGTGACTGTATTTTGTAGGTGAATACGACAGCCAATTTATGCACAGCCTTGTCCAACAAACAGCCATGAAGTGAATGACCATTTTTATCTAAGGGATTGTTGGCCAGGGTGCTGGGAGATACAACCTTCTCTTTTCTATTAGTGCCGTAAGCTTTACCATCCAGCTGAGTAGGCAGATAAGACTTCTGTTTAATGTTTCATCCAAAGGACCGCACCCTCCAATAATGTGCAACATTTCCAGTTACTGCATTAGAGTGTCAGCCTAGACTATGAGTTCATGGTCCTGGCCCAGGATCAATGTTACTACCCATCTACTGTCACCTTTCCATGGCTCTGAGAACCTTTCTCTAATGGATTTTCCAAAAGAGGACTTGCAGCCTAACTAACAGAATGATTATTCCAGGAGGTGCATGAGCACCTTTCCTGTTCAACAGATGTGAATGCAATTGTTAAAGTGAAGGTCCCATCCCAAGAGACGACAGTTTGCAAACAGTCTCGATATTGAGGAATAATCTTTATGTGATTTTATGATTCAGTCTATTTTTTAAAATTATTTAAGGTAAAACACAGTTCTCTTCCTTGAAGGTGAAAAAAATGCAGGACTTACTCGCAAAGTACGATTCCACTCTCCAAACCTGCTCGGAAATCCTTATCTCCAAAGCTCCTGCCTGTGACTTGCTGCAAATGTATTGGGGAGGAGAGGGGCGGGGGGAGGGGGAGGGGAGTGAGAAAAAAAAAGAGAAAATATTTTAGAAATGTATTTTGAAATATAAAATATTCAGAAATGTAAAAGGGTATGGAGCAAGTAACAAAAAATAATAATAATCCTTACATTTGGAATTGCGTCTCAAAGTGCTTCACCAAACTTATTGTTAAGTGTAATAACTGGGTGTTTTTTGTAAGGAAACGTGGTGGTTAATTTGTGTACCCCAATGTTCCACAAACTGCCATGAAGTGAGTGACCAATTTTATTTGAGGGATTGTTGGCCAACACACTGGGAGGAACTCCCTTCTCTTTTTGAAGAATGCCATAGTATCTTTAACATCCACCTGAATAAGCAGGTAGGACCTCAGTTTAATATTGCACCTGATTGCACCTCCAACAGTGCATTGCACTCTCAGCACTGCAGTGGAGTATCAGCCTAGCCTTTGGGTTCAAAGCGCTGTGAGGAGTCCCCCCTAAAGCTCTATATCAAATGCAAAGATTATTATGATTTTTTTTAAAAATTGGATTATTCTAATGCCTTGTAAAACACAAAGGCTCCACCAAGATTCATTTAAAAAATATTTTGTATTATCAGTATTTACTTTTTCTTGGTTCCTGATGCACCCTCCTTCCCCCAAAAAGTAGCACACAATTCCTTGAACGATATCCCTTCCAATGAACAATTAGTGTCAGCCTGGTGCAGCGGTAGCACTCTCGCTTCTGCGTCAGAAGTTTGTGGGTTCAAGCCCCACATCGGAACTTGGAATCACATAATCTAAGGTGACACTCCAATACACTGCCGGGGGGTGTTGCATTGTTGGAGATGTCGTGCTTCAGACGAGACAGTAAACCAAGGTCGCACCTGCCTGTTCAGGTGGATGTTAAAGATCTAATGGCACTATTCGAAAAGAGAAGGGAGTTTCTCCCCATGTCCTGACCAACAAACCCCAAATAAAATTGGGCACCCACTTCGTAGCTGTTTGTGGGACATTGCTATGTGCAACATGTTATGCCCACAAAGTACACAGTGCACTTTAAAATATATCCTGTGAAGCGCTTTGAGACGTCTTCATGATGTGATAAGGCACTATATCAAATGCAAGGATTATTATTATTGATGGCAGTCGTAGACGAGTGACTGACAGGTGTGGGCGATATGAGAATTTCTATGTGATTATTCCTGGACACATGTGTAACCACAGATGGGAGTCATGGAGAAGACCTCCATCAGCGTGTTCATAACACATTGTGTCAGAGCCTCCATCAGAGCACGCAACATTCTGTATGTTAATCCAACAGCCCAATATCAAAGAAATCCATCTGTATTTCAAAGATTAATAATACAACAATCCTTGCATTTGATACAGTTTCTATCACGTCAAAGCATCTTAAAAGTAATTGCGAAAAGTCTGCATTTTATAGCTTAAACAATACACTTTAACAGAATATCACACAGTACCTTAATGCATGTTAATCATTTGCAGCTCGCACAGAAATTTGAAAATATAACGAGTCACAATTATGCCATTGCAGCTCTTTATGTGAGGCTTTTCGGTGCAGTTCAGAAAAGACACGACAATGAATGGGTCAGAGCACCTCTCTAAGTGACAATACACAAACACAAAAAAAATAGTAGAACAAGGCAAGCTTGTACAAACAGTATATTAGACCAGTAGGCAAACCTGTCTGTGTTATGAATGGAAGGAGAGAAGAAGCTGAGACTCAGAGATGCGGGATGCGGAATAACTGGGTCACCATCCGCTTATTCAGAATATCATAGTTTCTCATTGGACCTGCCATCTGGTCAATAGACGGAGGTTATTCCATTCACGGTCTATTGTCAATCTCTGCTGGAATGAGGACTGCATGAAAAAGAAATTCCCACTCTTCAAATGGTCCAATATCATTGGTTTAAAGTTTAATTGATACTGCAGCACTGAGGGAGTTCATGATTCAAGGTATTTTCCATACAAGACCAAGCACTAAAGGGGGAGAACATTGTTTTTAATAAAGTATATAAAACCCTTGCTTTTCCTTATTCTTATGAATGATATTTGCTGATATTTTTTAAATGCTAAAAGGAGTCTGCAATTGTTAAGACAAAGGAACTTTAACCCAGTTAGTCCTGTCCACCTCTCAATCTGCCTTCATGCCAGGTGCTGCCTGAGACATTGATTGCAAGCACACAGGAATGGCCTTAGCTCTTGTCCTCTCACCCAAGGCACATAAAAACATGAATTGTTAACAGGAATACTCCTGCGCTTTGTCCACAAAATACACTGTCCCTATACTATGCAGTGTATTCTGTGAAGCGTTTTGAGACGTCCTTCTGACCATAAAGGCACTATACCAAATACAATGACTATTATAATAACAGACTTCAAAGAAAATAGCAATTTGTGTTTAGAAAATATCTGCAATGCATAAACATGTCACATTGCAAGGAGTAAAATCACAACGAGTGATGTTACTGCCAACAATCTTACAAAAGTGTTTGAAGCATTGCCTGTGGTGAAGCGATAGAAGCCTATAGTCCTTTGCTTCTCCATTGCTCTCGCCCTGGATTCTACATGATACAGCAAAGCCTTGTCACAAGTCTACCTACGGGAATCTGCAGAGATCCTCTAAGCCTGTTCTGTTTCAACCTTAAACAGTGAGTATTACTGCCGGCTCTTTAATATCATTAAAAAAAACAAAGGTGGCCAGGAATGTTTTAAGTTAATATTTTTAAATGGAAAAGTTTGCTTTGCACTGGCAGCAGATGTTTCATACAGCTGGCGCAAATTCAAATCAGTGCGATGTGGTCACTCAACACTTCTTAGCAGCCCCTACAGAGCTCCAGAAGAATATTGCAGTTTGTGTTGTTTTACTCAAAAAATCCACTAAATAGGAACAAACGGTGCAGGGCTATATATTCAGCCTATGAGACTTCAACCCTCTCTTGCCTGATGATTTTCTGAAGTTTCTGCAACTCACAAGATCACAGGATTGATTTGGATCAAGAAGGCCATTTGGACCATCCGATCTCATCCTTCCAGAAGACCCACTCTGCTGTCCCGCGTCACAGAATTAAGCTGTTTTTAAAAGAATCCAGTGTCCTGGCCTCAGTTACCCTTCCTGACAAACTATTCCAGTCGTTAATTACCTATAATCATACAATATAGTGAACTTAATTGTAGTGTCAAGTAAATGAATGTTAATGAACTGTTTCCACTTGATGGTGAATCCAAAACAAGGGATCATAAATATAAGATAGCCACAAGCATGTCTTAAAGGGAGTTTAGGAGGAACTTCATTAAGCAGAGGGTGGTGAGAATGTGGAACTCACTGTAGGAAGCTGTGGTTGAAGTAGAGAGCATCAGTGCATTTAAAAGGAAATTCAATGCATGCATGAGAGAGATGGGAAATGGGAGAAAAGATTAGGAGGATTAGAGGCTCATATGGAGTATAAACACCAGCGTAGAATGGTGGGCCAAATGACTCACAGTATATCCTTTGAAGTGTTTTGAGATGCCTTTCTGACATTAAAGGTACTATACCAAATACAATGATCATTATAATAACTGACCAAAGAAAGTAGCAATTCATGTTTAGAAAATATCTGTAATGTATAAACATGTTACATTGCAAGGAGTAAAATCGCAATGAGTGATTTTACTGCTAACAATCTTACAGAGGTGTAACTTTCTATGTTATTTTATGAACCCAATGATTTACAGTATTAATAGTCAACGCAAAGCTTGCCTTTTACACTTTTACAAGTGAAGCTGAACTGGTTCCATAGTTACAGAAACTGCATGTGAAAAATCAAAGGCTGTTGCAAATCGGTTCCAGAAGTTGAGAGGAACAAGGTGGCTGCTGCTAACAACTGCCTGTAAAGGGAATTAAACAGTCTCCCGGTCCCGAACAATAAAGTGCTCCAGACTGGAGCTGTGGAGTGCAGATTATCCTGAACCACACAGCAAATACAAGTCCAAGATGAGAGCCATGAGAAGGTACCAATCTAATTCCACACCATCAGTGTTTATTTCCACTTATTCTCAATCCAGCCTAACCTTCTGCAAAATTCACAATTTCCCGTCTAAACCCCTGCGTGAAGTCACTTCCACCTGCCAAGTTTGAATCCCTGGAACCAGGTGTGGTACATCTATTAGTATCTCCTTCTCCTCCTCTGTTTTTTCCCTGCAGGCTGCGCGGTGTTATCTTCCAGATTGGGCAACCTGGATAAAACAATGAGTGCCCTACCCCCTCTCCCCCCTCTGCGCCACCTCCAGCTCCCCCAGTCTTCATGATTGTGAGCTGACTATGCCCCACTAACCACCTGTCTCAAGTCTTGGAGTGCGCATCTTGGCTGCCGCCCCAGACCTGAGCTGCTTTTTCCCCAAAATGCTCCCTACCCTGCAACTCTTCCGCTCTGTCCTCCTCTCTCTCCATCCTCCTCGCCTCCTAACCCCATTTGACTGTCCCACAGCCTCCCTCTACTCCAGTCTGGGAATCCTCGGTCAGGCTCACCGTGGCACTCGGCATTGGCTGCCCAGCAGCAGCCACACTGACTGCCCCATTCCCCATTATCACCGCAAACCTCACCAGACCCAGACCCCAGGGGCCAACCTCTCCTCTCACATTCCCACTCTCCCTGCCAATCCTCCCACCACTCTCTCCCATCTCACACATTCCTCTGCCAACTGTCGCCTCCACATCAGCTTACAAAATGTCAGCTCCCTTTCAAACAAGGCTCTCGCCATTAACGACATCATCATTGATGAAAACCTCGATATTCTGGCCCTCATTGACATCTAGATCACCCCAGGCAACACTTTCCACTTGATTGAGGCCAAACCACCTGGCTATACCTGCCACCACACCCCACCTCCTAACCATCATGGCGGTGGTGTAGCCCTCATCTCCAGGTCCTCACTTGCTCTATCCCCTTACTCCTATGGCTCATTCCCCTCCTTTGAGCACCTTACCT